GGCGAGGGACGGCGCGGAGGGCGATGGTGGCACTCGCCGGCGAGGTACGGGCGCGAGGAAGAGCGGCGCGGCCGGTCGGGCTCGCGCGGGCCTGATCCGGGTCCGGCGTGCCGCGACGGCGCGCGGGACGGGCGCGCGACAGTTGACAGGCGGAGATTGGGTGCGGGACGCGGAAGGCTGACATGGCGGCTTGCCATTGGGTGAAGCGATGTGTTCGGCGGACATGTCCGGCGCGGATGGACATGTCCGGCGGTGCGGTGGAGAAGGGGCTAGGGGTTGTACTGCGCGAAATAGAAGGGGATGTGTTTATATAGGTAGAGGGAGGTAGGGATGTCCAAATGAGGTGTAGTTTTCGCCCACGCGATCGTGATCCGACGGCGGAGGACATGGAAGGGGTTTGGATGGGTTGTTGGGCCGTTTTGGAGGGGTGTTGGGCTGCAACACACAAGAGGCCTTCCTGGTTACCCGGTTAATCGTTGGAGTATCAAACGGACTCCAAATGGCACGAAATTTTACAGGTGGTCTACCAGTGGTGTACCAAGGCCGCTTGGAAAATCTTGATCCATTCCGAGAATGTCTAACACCCGCTCACAAAAAGAGACAAAAGGGGGATGCCGGATGAGGGAGTGTCGGATTGCAAAACGGACAACGGGGAAAAAGCTCGGATGCATGAGACGAACACGTAAGCAAATGAGATGCACATGAGGACATGATATGGAATGCATGACATGGAAAAAATGCAAAACAAAGACAAAACCAACCACGAAGGGGAAAATCATATCGCATCTACGGAAAAGGCAAGAGTCGGAGTTACAAATATGGAAAGTTATATCTGGGGCGTTACAGGGGTACCGCACACGGCTAAGAGAATAAAGGTTGTGCTTTGGGGTGCCCCCTACCCCCGTATATAAAGGAGGGGAGGAGGAGGCCGGCCACCAAGGGGCGCGCCAAGAGGGGGGAGTCCTACTAGGACTCCACTCCTAGTAGGATTCGCCCCCCTTTTTTCCTTTCTTATGGAGGGGAAAGAGGGAAGGAGAGGGAGAGGGAGAGGGAGAGGGAAAGAGGAAAGGGGGCCGCGCCCCCTCCCCCTTGTCCAATTCGGACTCCCTTAGGGGGCGCCACCCTATGGGCTCCCCTCTCTTTCTCCCCTATGGCCCATGAAGGCCCATTACTTCCCTCGGGGGTTCCGGTAACCCCTCGGTACCCTAATAAATATCCGAAATGTTTCGAAATCATTCCGGTGTCCGAATACCTTCATCCAATATATCAATCTTTACCTCTCGACTATTTCGAGACTCCTCGTCATGTCCGTGATCTTATCCGGGACTCCGAACAATCTCCGGTCATCAAAACACATAACTCATAATACAAATTGTCACCGAACGTTAAGCGTGCGGACCCTACGGGTTCGAGAACTATGTAGACATGACCGAGACACATCTCTGATCAATAACCAATAGCGGAACCTGGATGCTTATATTGGTTCCTACATATTCTACGAAGATCTTTATCGATCAAACCGTAATAACAACATACATTATTCCCTTTGTCATTGGTATGTTACTTGCCCGAGATTCGATCGTCGGTATCCTCATACCTTGTTCAATCTCGTTACCGGCAAGTCTCTTTACTCGTTCCATAATGCATCATCCCGTAACTAACTCATTAGTCACATTGCTTGCAAGGCTTATAGTGATGTGCATTACCGAGAGGGCCCAGAGATACCTCTCCAATACTCGGAGTGACAAATTCTAATCTTGATCTATGCCAACCCAGCAAACACTTTCGAAGATACCTGTAGAGCATCTTTATAATCACCCAGTTACGTTGTGACGTTTGATAGCACACAAGGCGTTCCTCCGGTATTCAGGAGTTGCATAATCTCATAGTTAGAGGAATATGTATAAGTCATGAAAAAAGCAATAGCAATAAAACTTAACGACCATTATGCTAAGCTAATGGATGGGTCTTGTCCATCACATCATTCTTCTAATGATGTGATCCCGTTTATCAAACGGCAAACACATGTCTATGGTCAGAAAACTGAACCATCTTTGATTAACGAGCTAGTCTAGTAGAGGCATGCTATAGGGACACTTTGTTTTGTCTATGTATTCACACATGTATCAAGTTTTCGTTTAATACAATTCTAGCATGAATAATAAATATTTATCATGATATAAGGATATATAAATAACAACTTTATTGTTGCCTCTAGGGCATATTTTCTTCAAGTTCTTGATGCTCCATGCAAACTGACGATGGGAAGTCGTTCTTCACGTCAGGCGATGAACGTTGGGAGGACGTGTGAATCTCTACCTCGGACAACACCAGCGAGTGTGATGATGATGAGGACGACTCGGAGTAGTTCTAGTTGCACGTAGTTTATCTAGTTGCACCGTAGTACTTTTTATCTATCTATGTTATGAATTATGTAAAATATCTTTATATCGTTTTTATCTATGCTATGAACTATGTATGGTTTTTTATCTATGAACAAAATATCTATGCACCGTAGTCCAAAGTGTTTATACGAGAGCGTGCGCTGTATTTTTGCGTGCTGCTGGAGCTACGCGCGTGTGCTGCATTTTGTCGCGGCTGCTGGAGCTAGCGCTGCCCGCCGCGGCAAACCAGACGATCAGCGCACTGCAAACTGGTTTTTAGCCGCACGCCGCGCCTTGGGCGACTGTTGGAGATGCTCTTAGGCCTTCTTCTTTTGACTGGGCTGCACACCAGGCCAGTAGAAAAATCTATACATAGAGAGAAAAACCTATAGCCAGTTGAATTTTCCACGCCTCGTGCCTAGGTCCCTCCGCTCCTGCACCACTCTGTAATAATGCACACACTTTATGTATCCCACTACTTTGACAAATCATTGCCTTGGGCCCACTTCTATAGCTACATGGTCATGCGCCCAACTTCCACCACTCCAGCCAATCTCAGTCATTTTTCATGTTGTCTTCGACACTCTCTTTACTAGTCTCATGCCTCTTTCTACTCACCCACGGTTGCATCATCGATCAACCACTTTGCCGAGGCATATCACTTTGCATCACTCCTACTTGCACACATTGTATAGTTGCCGAGTTTTTCTTATCTCCAAATACCATGCACTAGGACATCAATATGATCATAATGTTGCAGTATAGCTAGAAAGACAAAAGAAGAGCCACAAACAATTTTTCGGTGATTGAGTTGTGCCACGTTACCTAAAAAGCTCACACCCCGCTTTATTATATATAAAGCAAGTTGTGGCACGTTCAAAATAAGATTTCCGCGACCATGGCCAAGGTTAAATCAATGTAGCGTGAAGTTGAATAAGAAAATGAACACTCATCTGGCTAACAACAAGGACCACAAACAACATTCCATTTTAAAGGACAAATCAACTTTTGTCTTGTTCCCGGAAGAAGCACAAATTGGTTTCTAGCCACAATATATAATAAAAAAGATGATGCGTGGGACGGGGGTATATATGGGGTTGTTACGGAAGTTGCATTCCACATGAAAATGATAGAGGCATGACAAAGCAAAATAAAAGAGATATGTTAGCTGCTCATATATTATCGCCAACGGAAAACTAAATCCTATGTACCAACCGGCACACAGTATTAGAACGACTCAATTACAAGCAAAAAAGGTTCTCACGTGCGAGTACCAATTGCCTTAACAAGTTGTACAACTTGAACCCGAAAGAAATATTCTTCACCAGTTCACCTTAATCATTTTACACGTTTGTACCACTAGCACCTAGTTGGCGAGCTACTTGGTACGTGTGTCCCGACTACTACGACCTGACCTCTTCTCGGACAATGAAGATGATGGAGTTATTAGGTAGCTAGGTTCGTGCCACGAGATCAAATGACGAAGTTCCTCCACATCGGTAGAGGTAATCTCGATCAGAAGAAATAACAGGCCGCCCACGATGATATCTGACTACCTCAACGCGCGCACATGTGCTTCGAATTTGACCAGTGTACTTCGTCGAGATATATTTTTCTATGAAACTTTTCAAGCTTAGTTATACCTCAGAGAAGCAATCGATCTTGTGCAGGCAGTACAAATACACAACGTACGCATGGTGGCAGTCTATCTCATCGTTACAGATACATCTTCCTTGATTAGTTTTGTAAGGCTTAGTCAGCGATGGAGTACTCGCCGAAGCTAGCAGTAGTGGTGCTCTTAGCTCTCGCGTCCGCCATGGCGGTCACGGCCCAGAACTCGGAGCAGGACTTCGTGGACGCCCACAACGCGGCGCGCGCTGACGTGGGCCTTGGGGAGGTGACATGGGACGCTACCGTGGCAGCCTTCGCGCAGGACTACGCGGATCAGCGCCGCGGCGACTGCCAGCTGGTACATTCAGGCGGGCAGTACGGGGAGAACCTCTACGGAGGCGGCGGCGGCAGGACCGGATGGACGGCGATGGACGCCGTGAATTCATGGGTGTCGGAGAAGCAGTACTACGACCACAGCAGCAACAGCTGCTCGGCGCCGGCGGACAAGTCGTGCTTGCACTACACGCAGGTGGTGTGGCGCGACTCGACGGCCATCGGTTGCGCCCGCGTCGTCTGCGACAGCGGCGACGGTGTGTTCATCATCTGCAGCTACAACCCGCCAGGCAACTTCCCCGGGGTGAGCCCGTACTAGGCTATATGCATCATGCATGCATGCATGCGAGTGTGCATGTACGTACGGCGTATTGCATAAATAAAATGATTAAGCTGTGATAACTACAGTGTGATCAGATGAGATATATAAATAACCAGCCGGCCGGATTTGACGTCATATATTGTTTAGACCGGCTGTATAGATATGTATATGTACTGTTATGATTCAGGTAATAAGTTGTGTTATTGTACAAGCAGTGTTTATGAATAAATATATGGTTCTACTATTATACTGAGTATGATATTTGTGCTTCGCTGTGGAAAAAAACCACTAATCAAAGTGTCTTTCTTCCATTTTGTCATCTCGCACTTGTTCTCTATGTTGTGCATTTTCTGTTTTGCATCCCAACTCATACAAACAAACGGAGTAGATCTCGAGATGGCATGATAGGTCTCGTTTCTGAGACTCTCGCTCCCTCTCTGCGCCATAGGCCACTCCGGCCGTGACGGTCACCCACTCTGCCATTATGGCTCACCCATCCCCTCCCAGGTTTTGCTTCAGATCCAGCTCTAGCCGCGGTCCCGTGCAAGCTCACTCTCGACCAGCGGTCCATGGTAGGTTTCGGACTCGCTTTCGGCCCCGTCCGTGAATGCAGTAGATCTGACCTCGACGCCACAAATCCTACCGCGGGGAGAGTCATCCCATGCCACGCATGCCTGTGGTACTCCGGATCTGGGCGTTGTGATTGAGCGGCAGTACCTAAATCCATCGTGGTCATCCCCTCCGCTCTTGTCAACATTTCCTCTTCGAGCGAGGAGGAAGGATGGACGAAGCTCTAATCCTGAAGGAACACACAGACAAGCAAGGAACCATAGATTATTAGCGCCCACATACAGCTACACCACTCGGACCGACGACGGGACATCAATGGTGCACCGGGCCGCGAGGTCTTCTTAAGCTGCTTCAAAGGCCGAGATCCTCTGGGCTGCATATCGTTTGCGAGCTGCTAGGGCATTTCGGCACAGAGTACCCTCAAAATCCATGAAAGGGCGGACCATGAGGGGCTGCCCGTGCGAGGCTATGTCCGGCACCGACCAGGGCGCCAGTTCAAGATCAGGTTCAAAGCGCCAGGCAATTACCCGTTGATCCACCAAAAGAGATAAAATGTGAATGAACTTCACTATTTGTTTCAGAAGATAACTTACCAGTGTTGTTGTTAATTACAAATGATTGTGAAGGTGTATGGTAGGAAGCCAATAACACTTAGTGTAGAATATTTTTAAATGCAAAGTACATAAATTTTGTATTGGAGATGCCGGCTTCTTTCTAGTATGATATAAATTGCAATCTTATAAATATTGTTCTTTAGTGCAATTGTTGCTCAATAGAACATCTCAAAATATGTTCGAAAGAGTTCAATCAAGTCTTGCGAGTTAACCCGCCGACAATGATTTATGGCTATTTGATACTCTGGGTGCATATATGCAGAAAATAAATCGTATTGGTTGTAGGTTATGATGCTAATACTGGACAAGGAAGCACTGGTGCAGCAGCTGTAATCTGGAGGGGTCTATCATATTGCCCGTGTCTTCTCTCTCATGTTGTGACTCGAGGCTGAAGAAACCGAAATTATTGCCTGACTGAAGGACTAAAAGCACCGACGACTGTTTTAATCCATCCCATCATTCAGATTGTTTGGCTATTGTTTCTACTTTGAAGAATGCAGTGCACAATAAATCTCGACTTCACAATAGTGATGTGGAAACTAGGGACTGAATTTGTGAAGATTGCCAGCATGATTCTTATCAATTTGGTAAATTTTAAAACCATATAACAAAAAAGTCTCAAACATGTTGTGTCTGGTTTTTCTCGCTAGCTTTTAAACAGTAGAAAAGATACTCTTGGTATAGATTGGCCAGTGTTTGAGCTGAGCCAGAAAAGAAAATATATTTTGTATATACTCCATGGGTAAGTCATGCAGGTTGCTCTGGCAATTAAAAATGCAGCTAATGGTCCGGTTATTCTTGACACTTTGGGTCTATATAATTTAGGTTTCGTTCTACTTGGTCAATATTAATTATTATACAATTTTATATATCCAAGTATAGATTACATGCCCTCACGTTTGGACTGGTCAGGGCAAAGATTAAGTTCCATCTAAACAACTAAATTGATTTTAGAGGCTATAAGTATAATGCATGGGAGTTAGGTGACCACTTCTGTCCAAAATAGTGAAAGTAGCCAATTTATATATATAATTTACAGCAAATAGTGCAAGGCACTCGTGGGACTGGATTGTAGCATGGGATTTTAGGATACTAGGGGCTTTGTTCATGCATTTTTGCTTGAAGAAACATGTCTGCTACTTTGGGATGGTGCTCCAATGGTACACTGCCACCATTTTGAGGCCCTTGACAGAAAATTGAGAGATATACTTTCAATGAACGGCAGCAACAAATGTACTCTTCCTTTTGATATTCTACAATAGAAGAAAACTTCAATGCTACATTGATTTGATCTCTCACACAAAAACAACAGCCGGACAAATCACAACTAAACCGACGATGGGCAATTTCACGAGCACGCGGCTTCGCACGGCTAGTATAGTTTAGACCGGCAATGGTTGTGTATTGCCATGATTCAAGTAAGTTGTGTTATTGTACAAACAGTGTTTATGGATGAATATATAGTTCTACTATTATGTTGATTATGGTATTTGTGGCCTTGCTATGGCAAAAAGATCAGCACATATAGAAACCACTAATGAAATAAAGTTTATTTCTTTCATTTTTTTCATCTCTTAGACTTGTTCTCTATGCTGTGCGTTCTCTTTATTTGGATACAACTCATACAGACAGAATTCATGTTGCCATTCACTACAAAAAATACTGCATATGCTGAGTGGTCGGTTGTATATCAAGTGTTATTTTATGGGGTGCTCAGCATAAAACCCAATTTGCCAAACAAAAACTGGAAACACTCAGCATAATATTACCGACCTTCCTTCCTCTTCTTGCCGGTCAGCTATTTCTCTCGCTCTACTGACAACATCACACGATGCACCACTCTGTCATAATGCACACACACTCTGTATCCCACTACTTCGGCAAATCATTGCCCTGGGTCCCACTTCTATAGCTACATGGTCATGCGCACAACTTCCACGACTCCAGCCAATCTGAGTCATGTTTCCGGTCGTCTTCGACACTCTCTTTACTTGTCTCGTGCCCTCTTTCTGCTCACCGACGGTTGCATCATCGACCGACCGCTTTGCCGAGGCATATCACTTTGCATCACTCCTACTTGCACACATTGTATAGTTGCCGAGTTTTTCTTATCTCCAAATACCATGCACTAGGACATCAATATGATCATAATGTTACAGCATAGCTAGAAAGACAAAAGAAGAGCCAAAAACAACTTTCCGCTGATTGAGTTGTGCCATGTTACCGAAAAAGCTCACGTCCCACTTTATATATAAAGCAAGTTGTGACACGTTCAAAATAAGATTTCCGCGACCAAGGCCAATGTTAAATCAATCTCGCGTGAAGTTGAACGAGAAAATTAGCACTCATTTGGCTACTACGACCTGACCTCTTCTCAGACAATGAAGATGATGGAGTTATTAGGTAGCTAGGTTCGTGCCACGAGATCAAATGACGAAGTTCCTCCACATCGGTAGAGGTAATCTCGATCAGAAGAAATAACAGGCCGCCCACGATGATATCTGACTACCTCAACGCGCGCACATGTGCTTCGAATTTGACCAGTGTACTTCGTCGAGATATATTTTTCTATGAAACTTTTCAAGCTTAGTTATACCTCAGAGAAGCAATCGATCTTGTGCAGGCAGTACAAATACACAACGTACGCATGGTGGCAGTCTATCTCATCGTTACAGATACATCTTCCTTGATTAGTTTTGTAAGGCTTAGTCAGCGATGGAGTACTCGCCGAAGCTAGCAGTAGTGGTGCTCTTAGCTCTCGCGTCCGCCATGGCGGTCACGGCCCAGAACTCGGAGCAGGACTTCGTGGACGCCCACAACGCGGCGCGCGCTGACGTGGGCCTTGGGGAGGTGACATGGGACGCTACCGTGGCAGCCTTCGCGCAGGACTACGCGGATCAGCGCCGCGGCGACTGCCAGCTGGTACATTCAGGCGGGCAGTACGGGGAGAACCTCTACGGAGGCGGCGGCGGCGGGACCGGATGGACGGCGATGGACGCCGTGAATTCATGGGTGTCGGAGAAGCAGTACTACGACCACAGCAGCAACAGCTGCTCGGCGCCGGCGGACAAGTCGTGCTTGCACTACACGCAGGTGGTGTGGCGCGACTCGACGGCCATCGGTTGCGCCCGCGTCGTCTGCGACAGCGGCGACGGTGTGTTCATCATCTGCAGCTACAACCCGCCAGGCAACTTCCCCGGGGTGAGCCCGTACTAGGCTATATGCATCATGCATGCATGCATGCGAGTGTGCATGTACGTACGGCGTATTGCATAAATAAAATGATTAAGCTGTGATAACTACAGTGTGATCAGATGAGATATATAAATAACCAGCCGGCCGGATTTGACGTCATATATTGTTTAGACCGGCTGTATAGATATGTATATGTACTGTTATGATTCAGGTAATAAGTTGTGTTATTGTACAAGCAGTGTTTATGAATAAATATATGGTTCTACTATTGCACTGAGTATGATATTTGTGCTTCGCTTTGGAAAAAAACACTAATCAAAGTGTCTTTCTTCCATTTTGTCATCTCGCACTTGTTCTCTATGTTGTGCATTTTCTGTTTTGCATCCCAACTCATACAAACAAACGGAGTAGATCTTGGGAGGGCACGCTAGGAGACCTAAGTTCCATGAACAAGTTTCTGTCGGTAGCAATTGTGGTTCGTCCTTATCCAGGTTGCAGAGGTTGTGAGGATCGGACAAACAATCCGACAAGCGCTCCATTGTCCAGCAAGTATCAAATCACCAGGTCTAGTTAACGGAAACATCTGGATTCAAGACCAAGATCCGCAGCCCAGTCCCA